TGTACTTGTAAGAACAACATACACTGCTAACTAAAGTTACATGTACTTGTAAGAACAACATACACTGCTAACTAAAGTTACATGTACTTCTAAGAACAACATACACTGCTAACTAAAGTTACATGTACTTGTATGGACAACATACACTGCTAACTAAAGTTACATGTACTTCTAAGAACAACATACACTGCTAACTAAAGTTACATGTACTTGTAAGAACAACATACACTGCTAACTAAAGTTACATGTACTTGTACGAACAACATACACTGCTAAATAAAGTTACATGTACTTGTAAGAACAACATACACTGCTAACTAAAGTTGCATGTACTTCTAAGAACAACATACACTGCTAACTAAAGTTACATGTACTTGTAAGAACAACATACACTGCTAACTAAAGTTACATGTACTTCTAAATAGGATTTCGGTCACCGAAAAGAATAAATTTAGAATCATCATAATATTTTTTAGAGGAAATAGTTTATGACAAATCAAGAAATTTGGATTAATAACCCCAGTTACAATGAATTAATTAATGCACTTATATCGGTATCTACTTTGGGACAACAATAAAAGGAAACTATAATGATGATGGAAAGGTTTTTTTTAAGAATATATATTTAATTTAAAAGAAAGTAAAGAAAAATAAATCCACTGGGTTTTCAAATAACTACATATTTCATTATGAATTAACTGAATAATATTTAATAGAAATAAACTTTAAAATATAACCCACTTACAACAAATGAAAGCTTCTTTTAACTCAAGAAATGAAAATGCTTGGTTTTATTACACTGTTGACCAATAAAATATTGATATGAAAAATAATTAACCAATAGTTAGACATTAACTAGGCATTTGGAAAGAAAAATAAATTAGTATTTGATCAAAATGCTTTTAAACACATTAATATGGGCTTGGCATGGCCTGGGGGTTTAAGCACTCGACTCGCAACCGGCTGGTCGCGGGCTCAAATTCCATCAACAAACATGCTCGCTCTTTCAACTGTGGGGACATTATAATGTGACACTTAATCCCACTATTCGTTGGTAAAATAGTAGCCCCTAGTGTTGGCGGTGGATGATGTTGACTAGTTGCCATCTATCGAGTTCATCACTTCAAAATTAGTGCAGATAACCCTCGTATAGCTTTACGTGAAATACAACAAACAACAATTTCAACGAAAAAATTCCTAACAATTTTAAAATATATATATACTTTTTAAAAAGGCAGAAAGAAAAACAAATGAAAGATAAGGGAGATCTAGAAAGAAAGAATAAGAGATCAAAGAATCATCTAGGAGAAATTAAAGCGGCACATTTAGTCACTATTACCCGCAAAGAGAATGAAGACTTATAACTTTAAAAAGTGGGTTTTCATACCCGTTGTGGGCAGAGCACAGATAGCCCACCGTGTAGCTTTGCGCTTAACAACAAAAAACCCGAATAGAAACTTTAACTTGCCACTTTCATTGTATCGTAAATATACGAGTTTACATATTTATAATATGTAAATTAATATGGCCAACAATGTTTTCACGGTGTAATATAAAATAACACACTTATTACTTAAATCTTTGTGTCAGTTTTTCATTGATGAGTTTGTGAACTGGTAGTGACATTACCTAAAGCAAGTTTGTTTTAGATAAAATTCACTGTCAGTTGTTACACTTCTGACATAAAAGTCTAAATATTTCGCATAAAAAAGGAGAGTTATGGGAGCTTAATGAAAAGCAAGCAAAAATTTGTATATACTGAAAACACTATCATTCACAAACGACTTAAATATCAACTCATTTCAGTAATCAAAAGTTGAAAATGGCAAGTCTGTTTAGAATGTTCGCGCAAAGCCACACAAGAAACTATTTGTACAAATCAGTCTCTAATTTTGAACTGATAGGCTGGGGGGGGGGGGGAGGCACCTAGTCAACAGTATTCACCAATGAATTATTGAGTTATTCTTGTCCAACCAAACAGTGGGATTTAACCCATCACTCTTATAGAGCGCTCACAGTCCCGAAGGGCTGGGGATGTGATCCATAAACTCTCACACCCATAGTTAGGGCGTCCTAGCCACCCAAGCTCGTTTAACAAGGACTTTAAATGCCACAATAAAATGAAAGTGGAAATAACAAAGTTTTAACATAGTTGATAATAGTTAACAGTTTTATGATGTGATGCTATAATATGATATTTTAAGAGTCAAAGTCAGGGGCGTAACTGAGGGGGTCAAACGACCACCCAATATTATAAACAGCCTAAAAAGTCCACTATCTTCTAAATTTTTAAATAAACACTTGACTATCTTAAGTTTTTAGTACTTTCGGTTTAAAATTTTCATTTAGACAACGGTAATTCATTTCTATTTATTGTATAGAAGAAAAAGTCCACATTATTTTGGAAAAACACATCCACCACCACCCTACTCTGTAGTGTTGACTACACCCCTAAACTTTTAAGTTCGTGCCATAAATGACATTGACACATGTGACCCTGCTATGGCTTTTAATTATATTTTATTATTTGTATCTTATTCTATATGTAATATTTAAATTTAATGACTGTGATCTTTGCTACATTATTTGACTTTTGTTTTAATAAAAACGTTTACCGTTTTAGACAACTACGAGGAAAGTCACGTGTTAAATATTTAAGTCATGTATATTTCAGTTGATACAAATATATAACACAATAAATCTGACATTTGTTTAAAAGTTTGAGAACATAACAGACATTTCAATGAAAATTTGTAAAGAGACGCGTGTTTGCCGTGTTTTTTAGAGCTTTGGAGCTAGGTTCATGTCCATAAAAACCACAAAGTATTCCCTGCACTTTACGCTGTGAGCGTCTTATAAAAGTATAAATCCATCCCTTAGTGTGAATGGTGGGTTGTAGGGTATTGGTAACTAGTTACCTTTCCTCTTGTCAGCAGTTCAAAATTAGTATAAATCCATCCCTTAGTGTGAATGGTGGGTTGTAGGGTATAAATCCATCCCTTAGTGTGAATGGTGGGTTGTAGGGTATTGGTAACTAGTTACCTTTCCTCTTGTCAGCAGTTCAAAATTAGTATAAATCCATCCCTTAGTGTGAATGGTGGGTTGTAGGGTATTGGTAACTAGTTACCTTTCCTCTTGTCAGCAGTTCAAAATTAGGAATGGCGGCAGATACGTTAATAGTGTTGGGCGAGTTCTTTTGGATTATTTGGTATAAATAATGCCAAGTTCAGTCCACCTAATGATATGAATTAGTCTGTTGTTTCATTAACATTTACTACAGGCTAATTTCACTTGTAGCCCTAACTTCACAAATAAGGTGTCAATGGAAATTACAAGATTAAAGGCATGACTTATTAAGTGACTTGTATAATTTCGTGTTAATTAATCAATAACAAACTAACTCACTGAGTAACTGAATATACGTGATAACACTAACTACTACCACTGAACTGAATCACTCATTAACTCATTGCTTTCCTGATTCGTGTATATATATTGTACCCTTGTTTCTACATACTTCACGAAATTTCTAAATTCTACAGAGGCCTTAACTTTCATGAATTTTTAAATATTGCATCATACGCCCTCTAATAAACAAATAAACATCTAAATTAAAATGTTAAAAACTATAGCTTACAACAGCAGCTTTGCCATATACAAAAAATATAAATACAAGTTTATTAAACTGTGACGCAGAATTTTTAAACACGTTATTGTATTTGTGCATTATCAGTGAAATTTAAAATTTGCAAGTTTAGAATCATGACTATCCTTGTTATATATATAATTTAGTCGATGTGACAACCTAGATCATTGATTTCCAAACTGTGTGTCACGGCAAGTCGCTATGGGTGTCGTGAGAGTTTCATTACATGAAGTATAATTAAGAACAGAACGAAAACTCTACAAAAGGATATTGCATATGGCAGCAGAGGTGTCACGCAGATCAAGGTAAGTGTATCAGATGGAAATAGTCCCACCCCTCAGTGTGAAAATGCCCAATTTAAGTTGCAGGACTTAACATTTTAAATAGTTCACAGAAAATGAAAAGAGAAACAGTTACCTGATGCCCTATCTAGACATTCTACTGGTCACCCAGAAAAAACTCTAGATTTGTATGTGGATAAGCTATTACCTACATTTTGTTTTTGTTTTTTTATCTTTATGCCATTGTCAACGTTAGCACTCGAGAACATTTGATTACTGAACAAGCTAAAGACGATGAGTATACACATATTTACTCTTACTTGAATATTGAACAGTTGATATTTGGTCTGTATTCACTATTGCTAGCAACCCTTTTTGTGTAATAAAGGACACTGTCATTCAATAAAATAAATCCAAACACTGTGTCTTGAATAGTGAATACAGACCAGATATTCCCAAAATACTGAGACTAGTGATGTTTATAGAATTTCAGGATCATCCTACGGCTTGTCATCTAGGTGTTAGAAAAACAAATGCAGTTAATGTTCTGGTATGAGAAAGGACATTAAAAGTTATGTATTATCGTGCCATGTATATCAAACCGCTAAATTTGACCAGAAACGGCCAGCCGGATATATGCAAAGCACTAAATATATGGAACCTGGTTGTAGCAACTGTTTGTTTTAATTCGCTACAAGTGGGTTAGGGTGGGTGAGTGAAAAAACGTTTGGAAACCACTGGCTTAGATGGACCAACAGACCTTTTAACCCCTTATTGTACTTAAATGTTATATTATGTTGTTTTTTTTTAATAAAATTATAAAAATTTGTATTTGTAAGATTATTCTGAAGCTGTGTCTGGCATAGGGATCAAACCCCTATTTTGACATTATAAGACCTAAAGCTTATTGCTAATCCACCAGAAAACAACGCAAAAATAACGTTTACTTTTTCAAATAATAAAGAAATAAATATACAGTGCGCTGAATGAAAGCAATTCTTTAATAAGCAAACCAAAGCAAAGTCTGAATAATGTTGAAAAAACATTTTTAATACACCATTCTTATCTTTACCAGAGCATGTCGCTAGTAGTACAGCAGTATTTTGGAATGGTAGAACTATTTGTTTACGTGAGTTGGTATCTAAAGTTAGGCCTAAATAACATTCAATCTTGTGTAATACTTTTGCTGCCCAAAATAAATACAAATTTCGTTTTCTGAAAACATAAGTATGTTTAGTATTAGTATATTACTGTTTAACTTATCATTATTAGTCTATTAGTATTAGTCTTTAGCCTGTTACTATTAGTATTACTATTAATATTATTGTAAAATGTAAGTATAAAGCGTAATTAATTTATCTGATCGAAGTTGAACTTGGACTTTTTGGAGGTTAAAACTAATACTAAATAATATCTAATGTTTGTAATAAATAAAAGTGGTAGAAAAATAAAACTGTCTTGGCAAAAGATGACTCCTACCCGGCAAAAATCTATATTTGTGACCCCTTGTCTTACCATTTTCACCAAGGAAAAGGATGGTGCATATTGCATTAACACTTAATTCCCTTCACAATCTTAAACACCTCAATCAGATCTTCCCTAACTCTTCTTATTTCAAGAGGAAACAATTTTAAGAAATATTAACCTGTCCTCATATGATAACCTCTCCATCTCAGATCTCATAGTGTCCCTCCTTTGAACCCTTTTCAACAATGCAATGTCTTTCTTAAGGTAAAGAGCCCAAAACTGAACATAGTACTCTAACTTCCAAGTTAAGCTAACCAGTGACCTACACAATGAAATTATAACCTCTTTTATACTTATATTTAATATTTCAATAAATTCAATCTTAACTTGTATTTGTTCTACACTAACAACTACAGCTGAGTAATTAACTTGGTTAATGAGCTACCTATAAGCATCAGTTGCATTTAAAATAATCAAAATTATGATTAAATTCATTAATGTCAGGAAAATGATTAACTAATCAAAATTAGTGTCTCTGATTATTACTTTTTTTACTATTCCAACTATCCAAGTAGTAGAAATTTTGTCATTATTATTTCTCAGTATGTTTAATTAATTCATGGTTATTCCTTTAATGTTGCGACTTATAAAATATTGAACTAATAAAAATTAGTGTTTTCAAATTACTATTTTCTACTGTTCTAACTTTTCAAGTCTCATGAGGATGATTAGTTAAACTTAGTCAATTAATGAGTCTAGTGATTAATCAATTAGTAAATTCCACTAATCATTTAGCCCTACTAGCATCAGTACATTAGAGTGTGCTTAACCTCATGTTTCTGCTTTGGACCTCTAGAATTGACTGCTTGCTTTTAAAAAAGTAAAATAAGCTTATAAGATTAGCTGTTCACTAGAAATATTCTGTTAAATGTTTGTTGTTTTTTGTGTCAAAATATTCAAATAAATTGACCAAGACCTTTGTTAGTCTATGGTCATTTTACATGTATTTTCATCCATATACTGAAATAATTACTACCTGCATTTACCTAATTTAGATACTTTGGATATATTATCATGACCACGTATAACCTTATACTATTTAAATTTGTTAGCACTTTTATTCAATGGCAGTTGATTTGAAGTGAATCACTTGCAATCTTTAGGCTTGTGTCTCAGTTTTGGAAAGAAATGTTTTTTTATGTAGTTGCATCACCAGAACATAAGTTTTCCTAAGGTTGGATATTGCAAATGTTTAAAGTACAAACAAGTGAAATCAATAAAGATATATTTGTTTTTATGAATTGACTGAACCAAGAATGTTATAATTTTATTTGAAACTTTATTTTTAGAGTACATGGACTTGTACTGCTTAGGTCTCTACTGTGGGAGAATTAGAACAGAAAATGGAACTTGGAGCGATTGTGGGGTAACAGACACATACAATTATGTACATGTTTAATGATGCTATGTAGAGAGTTTACAATGTAGCTTTAATTTAACCAAAGCTCTTGCAGAAAGAAGAGTTTTAATAGCAATAGTATGTGCATGTAGAGTCAAGTTTAAGAATCTAATGGTGTCTCATGATTGTAGTAATGTGATTTGTAAAAATAAATTTAGTAATTTCTTCAATATTTGTAATTTTGACACATCTTTTAATTACAATACCAAATTAAAGAAAGCAAATTGTGATAAGAAAAGTTTTAACCTTTAATAGCATATAATAAAGGATTCTTAGGTGTCAAAGGTCAGTATAAAATAAAAGAGTATTTATTGTAGTAATAATTTGTCCACAGGGTTTTGTGATGGATTGCTTACAAGATTGTTAAAAAGTTGTTGTGAACTGTCTAATTCCATCGTCCTCATTATATTACTTAAGTGTTAGGATGAAACACCAAAATGGGTTTTCTTTATGCACCTTTTTATTTTACATGTTACTTTCAATAAGATAAATTCAGAATAATCTTTTCATACTGTTAGAATTGTATAGTGACAATTTAAAAAAAAACTGATCAAGTTATTTTATATCTTCAATAACTTTAATTTTTTTACATCCACTTATGTGAGCATATTCTTGTTGACTAAAGCTGTCAAATAAATGCTGATATTGTCTGGCAGCTGTACTCAGTCAGATACTAGGGGTGGAACTGAAATATAGATAGAACTTTAATGAAACTCACATTTCCATTCATTATTCTTATGTTATAGTTTTCTTCATGTTAATGAATAACAATTCAGTTATATTTCTGTTAAGATGATTCCAATAAAGATATTTTGTTGGATTGCTGTAATTAAATGTGGATGGATGTGTTCTGTGCTAACATTTTGTGAAATATATTCCCAGCTCTTGATACTTCTATTGTAGTTCCCACAACATTATCTCCCAAAATATTCTCACTCTTAAATATATTTTTATTGAGAACCAAAAAATAATTTTTTTATCATTGACTTTTTTCTTAATAATAATAATGGTTGGTTACTTTGTGTAGTTTGTTTACCTTAACAATAATGGTTGGTTGTTTTGTGTAGTTTGTTTACCTTGATAATAATGGTTGGTTACTTTGTGCAGTTTGTTTACCTTAATAATAATGGTTGGTTACTTTGTGTACCTTAATAATAATGGTTGGTTACTTTATGTACCTTAATAATAATGGTTGGTTACTTTGTGTGGTTTGTTTACCTTAATAATAATGGTTGGTTACTTTGTGTACCTTAATAATAATGGTTGGTTACTTTGTGTACCTTAATAATAATGGTTGGTTACTTTGTGTACCTTAATAATAATGGTTGGTTACTTTGTGTACCTTAATAATAATGGTTAGTTACTTTATGTAATTTGTTTACCTTTTATGTGTTCTTGAGAGATCATGTAGTTCATATACAAAAAGAAATCTTGTCTGTTCACCTTCAACCTTTTGTGAGCTTATAATGATATTGATAATAGAAATGTATTATTGCTTTTAGTATATGAATGTGAAGTTATGTAACATTTTGCACTTCAGATAGAATCCTTGACTAATATTCAAGTTGAGTGCTATTTTGTGTTTGTGTTTCTCAGGTCATCCACTACTAAACATGCTGCTATCATAGTGGGATAGAAGTAGATAAAATGGTAATTAGACTCTAGTGAAGAACACTAACATTTTCAGAGAATGTGTGACAATCAACTGATGAATAATAAGGTAACCTATGGACCAGTGGCAGATCAACGGCCTGCTCACTCACCACATAGACCCACCCAGTCAGAGTCTGCATGATGATTTACTCACCCGAATATGTCAAATGTAGTACATTTGTTTTTAAGTTCCCTGTAACTCCATAAGTTGATAAGTCTTCTGCCTGTCCATTGTAACTTGAGGCCCACCTAAAATTTCATACCTTATTACACCAATGCAACAGACAAAAAGGGACCATTTGGTTCTTCAAGGCTGTCATTGCACACCAACCCATGAGAAAAGTAATAATTTAACCCACTCTTTAGGAAATCATTGATTACTCTCTTAAACCCATGTAAGGCATTGGCCCCACTACTGCCAATGGAAGCCCATTCTATAAATCAATCTTAATATTTGTTTTTATATTCTACTACTGACTTAAGCTTCACAAATGTCAAATACTCATTAAAGAAACCAATACTTAAAACTTGGAAATGCAGTAGGCTGTCTCATATCCAGGCAGCAGAAATTGTAGTCAAAGAGACTATCTGGCTGAAAAATAACATCATGTAAAACGTTGTTATTTTCTAGATTATGGGAAAATCCAACTTCATACAATTTCATATATACAGCATGCCAAGTCTTGTGACAACAAAAATCATTTTGTTCAAGTAGAATTACTTTAGTTTGAGCCTACCTTGATCCATGTTATGTGAACTTTTCCAGAAGTATGTGTAATGGAATGTACATGTACATACCAGAATATTACTTTAAAAAAATTTTTATTCTAGAAGAAACACTGGTTTGAAACTTGTAAATTCAGTAAGTTATGTGCTATTTTAATTATTAGCATTCAGTGTATTGTAAATTCCGTGACTCTTAACACCAAGGTAATAAAATACAGTACTCCCGGACAGGTGTTGTTCGAGGCTCATGACTTGAGTTAACTGACAGATAAAACAGTTATGCAGGAATTTTCCACATTTAAAAAGATTTTTCATCAAGGTTTCGGTTTCATTGCTACAATTACTGCTAAGTAACTGAAAGCTTAATAAATAAACTTAGTATTCCAAAAATTCTTTAATCTCGAAGTCTAAGCTCAAGTGAGGTCCAGTTTAATCAACATGTAGATTGAATTGGACCTACCTTGAACTCAGCCTTCCAGATTAAAGACTTTTTGAAATACTAAGTTTATTTATTACATCTGCTATTGTGCTGCTATATAATGTGAAGAACTGAGTAATGGCCAATGACACTTTTTCTTCACTTCACCTATCAATGTGTAGGTTTTTCTCATAGTGACTAGAAAGCACATTCATACCAACAATATGTTTGGAACTGAAAGCTTAGTTTATATGTGAACAATTCCTACATGTTTATACCTATTGGTTATCTTTGTGTATTGAAAACTTGTCATGTATTTGTGTAAATCGTTAAATTGTGCTACATGATAGTATAATAACAATTGTAACACAACTTATACTCCAGAGTTTTCCGATATTATTGAAAACTGTTGACATGCTGTAAATTTTATATTTACAATATTAACAAACCAGAATAAAAGATATGGACATTTCTGTTTTTTACCAATGACTATAACTGTTGTATTGTAAAACTAATGAATTTTGTAAGTTATATTTTCAGTATCGTTAAGTCACTGGTAGTTTTGAATTATATACATAGTTATCATCATGCACGTTTTTTTTTTACTCTTTTTGTTTTACATTAAGGCCTGTCCCAGGGGCTATAGTGTAGTTCACTGGCCGGAACGTAACTACCAATGTCTTCCATGTATGGGCACACCCACCTTCTACTCTTGGCTGTATCTTGGGTTCATGGCAGTCTTACCTCTGGTGTTGGAGTGGTATCTTATAGACCAAACAGTAAAGCGAAGGAAGTGAGTTGAAAGCTAGTAACACGTTTCTTATCTTACAAAGTTATTTATGATACCATACTGTTACTAAGGTGCTCATGCTTTGTTCAACAGTTTCTGTTGTTTATAATTTAAAATCTTTTCATAATATTATTTAAGCATTTTCCTTAACATTGTGTGTAATTTATCCAATATAGCTTTTTGATAAAGTATATTTCTATATATCTGTTTGTATGAGAACTAAAAATACTTAGTTATTTAGTGTGAGTTAATTAGTTATTTATATTAGTACATTATTCACTTGAAAACATTTCAAAAAACGTAAAGCTTGTTTTATAATTCTTATTGTAGATGTTCATTAACAAATTATTTTTACTAACAGTTGTGCTAAATGTAAATATTGTCTTTCATAATGTTTTTACAGAGTTTAGTAAAAATAGAATTAAAAATAACAAATATATCATTAAAACAATAAATCTTTATGTTAGAAAATTGAAATAAAATATTCTTTGAAAGTTTAGATATGCCTGGTTTATGAACTTTGGCACCAAATTTTGTAGATTTTAAGACCTCAGTTCTGTAGAGATGTTCATTTTGGCCTTATTTTATTAATATCTAATTCAAAGATCTTTTGTAATATAGTTTTGTTTCTTATGAGTACTTTCTGCAGTATTAGCAGCATATTAAAACTACAAAATAAGTTTTATTGATGCCTAAAACGTTTATTTAATCCTTTAAACATTTACAAGCCACCATACGTGTCTTGTCTTGCCACTTTCAGCATTGAGTTCATGAGTTTTAAAAGTAATGAAAGATCATATGTAGTAATGACTTCTTCTATGTCACTTTAATTTATTAGTTTTTTTATCATATAGTCAGTTGTTGCTAAGAAAATCATGGAAGAATGATTATACTTCACGCTTGGAGTTTAACATATAATGTTTCGTATTTAAAATCTTTTTTCTTTCGTTAAATTTAAAAAGCTATTACTCTAGGTTGAAATAAATACCATTTTGTTGTCGGTGGATGTTTTCATTCATGTAATTATTGTAACATACATACTTAATACAAAGTTATAGAAACATTGTAGGCAGGTGAAAACCACCTGAAATCCCAATTTCACAGACTCAGAAATCTTAATTTCGACATGAATAAAAATTGAACTACAATGTTTTGATCATGTAACAAAAGTACCATTTCTAACTGGAAGATGCATACACTGTTTTGATCACGTAACAAAAGTACCATTTCTAACTGGAAGATGCATACACTGTTTTGATCACGTAACAAAAGTACCATTTCTAACTGGAAGATGCATACACTGTTTTGATCACGTAACAAAAGTACCATTTCTAACTGGAAGAT